GAACCCTTCTCCCCCATCTTGCCTCTTTCATGCATGACAGAAAAATCCAGCTGCCTGCAGGAAGTGTGTCACACAGCCGTCTTTGTGTGTCATACTCCGGCTCAGAGGCCATGACACCCCAGAGAAGGGAGGAGACTGGCCTGAGAGTTAAAACTAAAGCTACAGGATCTTATAACGGGGGGTTGTTATAGCCCAGTTATAAATTTTCCTGCTATGTGGGAAAAAAGATAGGTGAGACTTAAGATGGTAGAATGTGTCCATTTAAATGGCTACTCAGGAGAGCATCAGAAACGGTTTATAAAGATAAGATCTGTAGGTGAGTGAGTTTAGGCATCGGTCCTCAAAGGCCTGTAGTGAAGGGAATATTAGATTCAGGAACAGGGTAGAGGAATGACCCTTTTTCATGCGCGTATAAGCTGTTCTGCACTGTTACTCCTAAAATGGCCCTGACTGGCTTGTCTCTGCGTGGCACCATGCAGGGTGCCTTTGGTAAGATCAGCTGTGGAGTTCATGTTTTATGTGTCCGGATACAAACCACTTCTGATAATGGCTTGTTTCTGTAGACAAAGACACCAACACGTCACTCGGGGTCCCCACACTGTCCATAGTGGCTTCTACTGCCAGCTCCGTGGCGCTCATTCTCCTCCTCGTGGTACTGTTTGTGCTGCTGCAGCCAAAGCTGAAGTCTTTCCATCACAACAGGTGAGCCTAGTTGCAGTGGGTGGCAGGCATTGCTGTGGGATTTGGCCTTCGACTGGCAGAGGGTGGCTGGTATGTCTCTCAGCCTCTGTTGGTCTGTAGGTGCCCAGGGAAAGGGGTAGGCCCTGCCATGTGTTAAACTCCTGGATGTGCTGGGCACTGTGCTTGTTGCTTTGCATATATTGTCTTAATCCTCACAGGAACCTTGCAGATAAGGAAACTAAGGCTCAGAGAGGTTAAGTCATCCACTCTAGGTCATCCCTCTAGATTAGTAGTCCTCAACCTTTTTGGCACCAGGGACCAGTGCTCCTATGAGAATCTAATGCCTGATAATCTGAGGTGGAGCTGAGGGGGTGGTGCTGTGGAGTGTCTGCAAATACAGATGAAGCTTCGCTCGCTGGCCCACCGCTCATCTCCTGTGGCCCAGGTCCTAACAGACCACAGACTGGTATTGGTCCGCAGCCCAGGGGTTAAGGACTCCTGCTGTAATGATGATAGAGCTGAGATTTGAGCCCATATATGCCCAGCTCCTAAATCATATCATTTCTCCTACCTTAGCGGTTCTCAAAGGGTGATTCTGGCAGCATCAGCATCACCTGGGAACTTTTAGGAATGCAAATTTTCAGGCCCCACCCTAGACCAGCTGAGTGAGAAACTCTGGGATTGAGGCTCAGTGACATGGTTCCACAGTTCCTCCAGGTATTTCTGATGCAGGCTCATATTTACGGGCCACTTCCCTGTACACCTGGTTCCCAATCCTGGCTGAATATAGCTGCTCCTGTGGGGAGTTAAAAACAAATGCCAACACCTGGGCCCTCATCCCCGTCTATTCTGATTTATTTGGTTTGGAGTGGTAGCCTGACATTAATGTTTGTTTGTTTGTTTTAAATTCCCCGGGTGGTGCTAATGTGCCCCTAGGATTGGCAGCCACTGCATTATTCCATACTAGAAACAGAGGAATTGGTTTTCTTGCCCAACTTTGTCACTTTCTTTTTTATGGTCGAGTGCATTAGCCACAAATCATCCCAGACTGGGTGGGTGTGGTTGGGAAGGGCAGGTGGCAAACGGTGGGGAGTGGCCCCGAGTGGATCCCTTAGGGTGGATTTCTCTCCCAGGCCGCCATGGCCTCCAAATTTGCTTGGACTGCCCTGGAAATTCCTCATTCCCTCTAGTGGGAACAGTTTCTGTGCATTCACGGCCCTTCATCAGTCATTGTTGTCACCCACAGGCACAAAGAAACAGACTGAACTACACTAAAAATGTTCCTGGTTTGGAATTTACAGATAAGAACCAGGCTTAGTTTAATCACTATGTACTATGTGTGATTTTTTCTTTCTTATAATTTTGTTTTGTTTAGGGGTGGGGGTAGCAGCTATTTTTAAAAGTTGTTAAACAATTAGTAGAATAAAAAGGATTTGGAAGGGACTGTTTACTTAAAAGAATCAGCTATTTTCACATTAAGTCAAACTGATGTATTTGGCATTTCATTCAAATTATGGAATTTTCCCCCCTCATAGTTAACTAGTAAATCTGTTAAAAGTAACTAGCTGATTTTTGCCTGACTTGAGTGGAAAGGAGATTTAGTATTCATTATAGACTCTGTTTAAATTTTGTACCATGAACACGTATTACTTTTTAAACAAAAATTATTTTGAATAACAAAAGTTAAGCACATGCCAGAATTTATACTACTTTCTATGCCACCTTGCCATCAAAATTTCTCTTCCTTCCAGAATCTTCTGAGCACTTTTATGAGTCCCACTTCTGTTATCCTCAGTGTGTACACCATTTCAATTGGGTAGCACAGATTTTATCTTCAAGTACATATGAGGAAATTGAGAACTAATAACAATCTAGCAATAATAATATCGTCCCGTCATAGACTGTGCATCTCCTATTGTGATGCACTGAGGAGGACACAGCACCTATGTAGTGTTCTAGGCAAAAATTGGCCTGCATCTAATTCCAAGGAAACAATTAGACAAGTCCAGATGGTGGGACATTCCAGGAGACAGCTGGCCTGGAGTCTGTAAAAAATGACATTGTCATGAAAGAAAATCTAAGGGGACTTCTGGATTAAAGGAGATGAAAGAGACAAGACAACTAAATGCAGGGCATGATCCTTAATTGGGTCCTGGATGAAAACAAATAACAGCTGAAATGGATATACTTGTGGGTAATTGGGGAAATTTGTGTTCCAGTATTATATCAATGTTCAATTTTCAGGATGCAATGATGCTATAGTTATACAGGAGAGGAGGTTCTTGGGAGGTGTGTACCCAATAATAACTTCAACTTTCAGAATGATTTAGATTTTTATTTAAAAAGTTTGTGTGTATAATAAGTGATCTTCAAAAAGGTGTCTGCATATGTAAATCTCACAAACGTAATGTTGAGTAAAAGAAGCCAGACACATACGCATATACACACAAATTTACTATATGTCCCATTCATACAACAATTAGAAATACGCAGAACTAAACTGTGGTGTTAGAGGATTCATGTGTAGGCAATAAAGCTATTAAAATTAAAAGCAAAAATGATTTTCATGAAGGTTAGGATACCTGTTATAGGGATGAGGAAATGACAAGTGATAGGGATGTTTGTTGTTAGCATTATGGTATTTATTTGTCTCTGTGTGTGTATTTTAATTCTTCCTTTGTCTTTTCCTCCTCTGGATGCAGGCGTGACCAGGGGATATCTGGGGACCAGGTCTCCATAATGGTGGATGGAGTCCAGGTTGCACTACCGTCGTATGAAGAGGCTGTGTATGGCAGTTCCGGTCACTGTGTGCCGCCCGCTGACCCCAGAGTGCAGATTGTGCTGTCAGAAGGGTCTGAGCCTAGTGGGAGGAATGGGCCAAGGGAGCAGCAGCTGCAGGACCAGGGGGCCTGTTCCTCTGCAGGTGGAGAGGAGGAGGCCCCGGGCCAGTCTGGACTATGTGAAGCCTGGGGCTCTCGGGGCTCAGAGACTGTTATGGTGCATCAGGCAACCACCTCTTCCTGGGTGGCCGGCTCAGGGAACAGCCAACTGGCACACAAAGAAGCGCCAGATTCAGAGAACAGTGACATACAAAGCCTTTTATCCCTCACATCGGAGGACTATACAGATGGTAGGTGGTCTGCGCTGATCATGAATTACTAGAGGCCCAGGGTCCTTGCTGAGAGTGAGGAAGGAGTGTGAGCCTCTCTAATAATTGGTGTGTTGAGGGGCAAAGAAAGATAATACCTGGGGTATTAGCCTGCAAAATAGGATTTCACCCTCAGCTCTATGTAGCTCTGTAGGCTCTGTATGGAGAGACTCTCACTGTTTTGATAGTTTGGAGTTTCCAAAGTTATCCATGGCCACCGGGCTGTGCTAAATCAAAGGGTAGACAGCTGGTTGGAGGTGGGGGTGGGGTCCATCCTCTCATTATAGTTTTTATGTTCTTGAAAGGACAGGAATGACAAGGAGGTGTGGGGTCATAGTACAGAGAAAACTGGAGCCTGTCTCTTTTCCAGAGCGTTCAGCTGCTTCATTTTAAATAAGAGAGTGCCAGGTCCTGTGCTGGTTGGTTTTCTTGCACTATCTTAGTTAAACCTTATGATGATCGTGCAGAAGTAGGTGTTATTACTATCCCCATTTTACAGACAAGGAAACTGAAGCTCCAATAGTACCAGTAAGTCACTTGCCTCACCAGTAAGTGACTGAGCTGGAATTTGAAGCCAGATGGATGTGGCTCCAAAGTCTACATTTATAACCTCATGCTGCCATACAGCCTCCCAGATGACTCCAGGTCCTTTGTGGCCAACCAGCCATAGAACGAAATGCCACCTCCTGACACCTCTGCCTTTGCTGGAGCCTGGAGAGTTGAATGTTGGGATTGACTTTGTCACTTTAAAAAATATCTTTAGATGAAATCACGTTGTGGTTCAGGATTCATACAAAACCTAGATGTTTCCCTTTTGACAGTGAGCACGTCTCCATTTACAAAGACCCCCTAACCTAAAAGAGCCTTAGAGAAAACTTTGTTTCCAGGGAATCCTGGGCACAGTAAGTGTCTAAAGTTTAGAATATCTGAAGGTAAAGAAGTTGGAATTTCTTGAATGCAGATCATTTATGGAGTTTCCCTGTTAACATGCTTTTTTTTTTTTTTAATTGGTGGGATATAGAGCTAAAAAGGGCCACTAAATACTTGACGCAGCTTGAAAGGTGGAAGCCATCGACCCCATGGGCAGCCAGCCACACATACTGTGTTTCTGAATGCACATATATTTTATGTCCACACATATTGACATGTCCAAGTGCAAATCTCAGCCCTTACCCTCCTAAGGAGCCAAGATGATCCTTGTTCTTCCCCCTTCTCCTCCTTGCTACCTTACTTTGTTCCATGTATCAGTCAAGCATTTTTGAGAGCCCTTCTTATACCTGGTGTCAGATTAGATTGCAGGGGTAATACAGAGAAATATGAAACATGCTCTCTGCCTGCATGGATTGCCAGTCAGTTGGGAAGATGGGGGCTATACTCGAGAAATAATGGAACTAAGAATTGAAGGGTTCGGAAAACAAAACATAGGTTATTGAGTTCATCGCAGGCCATCCCTTAGATATCTGGGACTGACGGTACCATAGGAAGTCAAGACCTTGAGACATCAGTCTAACTCCACTGACATGTAAGGAGACTAAGACCCAGAGAGAGTAAATGACTTATTCACTATCACACAGCTGGAGGATGGCATTAAGGAGGAGGTGAGATTTAAGCAAGGCTTGCTAGTCTCAGGATGAGATTAAGGACAGAAAGAGAAGAAACTACACCAACAGTTAAGGCAGAGGGAAGAGTTCAAGTTGGTGGGACCAGAAGGGGTTTTAATAGCAGACTGAACATTCCGATTTTATCACATAGGCAGAGGGAGAGATGAGTAAGAGAGTTCTCAAAAAACAACGAGGATTTAGACTAGAAGTGTGTGAGTAGTGCATTTTATTTCTTTAAACTAGAGGCTGTGTGGGGACCCCTGCATTGGGATCAGGTGTGCTATAGTAGAGAGACCCACATGGGGTAACGACTGTACTGTCTTTCTCTACCTGCAGATATCCCACTGTTGAAAGAAGCATGAGGGCTGCCACCGGCCTCTCCTCTCTGCAATGGTCCTCTCTGTCCTTTTTCCCTCTCTCCGTGAGTTTGAGCACCCTGTACTCCAGCCACCCTGCCCAGATACCTGAGCTACCACCTGTGGATCTGTGGATCTCTGAAGGCCTGCAGACCCACATCGCTGGAAACTCAAGGAAGATTCTCGCCATCTGCCTGCTAGACAGCTGGCTTTTTGCCTGGCCCAGCCTTCCCGTCTGTGTCGGGGACATATTTGAATGTGCTGGATTGAACTCTTCCTTTCCCTGAACCTCTGGGTCCCCTCCAGCCAGCTCTTTGGCGGTAGCTCCCACTGGCCCACATGGGCCTGAGAGCTGCTGTGTTTACTTGTGCCTTCCTCCCACCCCATCCAGTTTTCCTGTCACTCAGGCTTGTCACTGTCCTACAAGCCTTAGTGGCTGAACCACTGCCCCCTGCCATATAAGGGGCTGGGCCTGGATCTGTTTCCTTTGAGGGCTGGCACTGCTACCCTTAGCAGGAGCAGATTCAAGAGTAAGAGCTGTGGAGACAAGAGTAGCTCTAATTGGGACACGAGTTTGGGTTCCTGGGCCTGCCCTTGGTTGACACTGATGGCACAGTTCCTTGGCTGAGGATGGATGTTGTGGGAAATCCTGCCAAAGCTGTCCCAGCGCCTGGCTATCCAGCTGAGAGGTGCCACCGCCTGGCCCTGCTGAGTTGAGTGTCCAGGAAGCATCCAGAAGATGCCAAGGGAGGGTAGGAAGGTGGCTGACAATTATTGTCTTCCTAATATGCAGGTTCTCCCCTCCCACTTCAGCATCGGCCCTACTGGCCTCTGCTTTCTCTTTC